CATGCACGCACTCGCATTTCATCTGTATTCTAATCATGTGGAGTGATTCATACATAACGCCGTCCACAAATAAAATGGAAGACAAGACGCTTTAACTGAAGGCAGTAGTGTGTGTGTGTGTGTGTGTGTGTGTGTGTGTTGTGCTTCAAAAGAAACCAAAAGCTTCTTTCCCTTTCCATTTATCCTTTGGCTTGTGGGCTTAACAATGAATAAATAGAGATGAAGAGACATGATGAGAGTTGGAGAGCGGATCTGCCTTAAAGAAAGACAGAAAGAAAGAATAATAAAAGAAAGAAAAAGGTTGGCAGAGTGCAGAACGCGTGGGCCGGCTCGGGAGTTTCCTGCACTAAAGGTGTGATGATGTAACTGAGCTGAAGAGAGAGAGAGAGAGAGAGAGAGAGAGAGAGAGAGAGACCAAGCCTGAAGAGAAATATGAGCTTGTATCTTCTTTTTTTTTTACACAAGGGAGGTCCGCATCACGCCAGCCAGCCAGAGAGTTATGCACCTATTAAAAAGACACAGAGAATTTAATCTCAAGGAGGATAATTACCATATCCAAAAGGAGCATCAATGGTACAACCGTTTTTAGGGGACCTAAACTTAATTTGATCACCCCTTTTGTAGACTAATAGTAATGCGAATAAGAAGTGAGTGCAAGTGACTGAAAAGGTGCTGGATTTTCTGCTTCGTATTAATTATTTGAAAGTCTAAAAACTACTTTGGGGCCCCTGTTGTGCGCTGTAGCTAAATTAGGAAGTATGTGTTTTTTTAAAATATTGTGGGGTTTTTTTTTGCCTTTATTTGGGAAAGAGTAAGGGGACGACATGCAGCAGAAGCCACAGGTCGGACTCGAACCTGGGCCACTGCAGCAACAATATGATCAAATATTATAAATTGGACACTTTACAACATATCCGCAATATGCCAATATCAGCCAATTTATTGGTAGGACAGGGCCCTAACCAGCCACGTTGGACTATGCAGTGGTTTAAACGTATTAGTGTACTGCAATATTAGTTTGGGGATTTATAGCACCTGGCACTCATTAGCAAATATATGGCCTTAGAATATATGGCCCTAATCAGGTGAGTTTGTGTAATTAAAAAAATGCCACAACACATTAGAGAAGAGATTTGCTCAATTTCACCTGTAACCACACTCAGCTGTGAGGTCACAGTGTCCTGCTACACCCTGCAGTACACTTCTACATCACTGTAGCAAGGTTAGGAGTAAAACCACACAAGCAAAAACAAGATTTTCACCTGCTGTTAACTTGCACCTTAAAAGCAAAATTATGTAAGATTTGTTTTTTTGTGCAATTTGTGCCCCTAATGTTTCATAGTGTAATTCACTACTGTAGTAAATAAGGACAACTGTACAAGTGTATTTGTTATGATTGCATTATATGATCAAAAACTAGCAAGTCGACTACTTTGTTAACACATCCAAACCTCAAGCAAGTGCGACAACACAGGCAATATTACTTACTAATCCAACAGAAAGAAGGCCAGCTCAACAACCACCTTGCATCCTCTTAGCTGTTTTAGCTCACACCAATGAGTGAAAGCCAGTCTGATATTTACTCTTGTCCGTCTCTTTCTCTCAATTACAAGTCAGTTCAAAATGATTTGAAGTTTAATATAAACTGACTTCATAATGTTTTTTAATTTGCAGTGCCCTCTTAGACCAATCAGTGGCAATAACCAACCACTTAGGGCTACACAACTGCTTAGATTTATTGATAAGTTTGAGCGGTAAAGCACCTTAAAATTAAATGTTGTGGCCTTTTTTATAGTAAAATGTCATATCCGTAGTGACTGATAATGTTATCTGGTACTGAAGGGTGAATTTAGTCATATTCTCTGTTGAGATGTTATAACTATATTACATTGAAACCAAATAAATTATAATAGCCTGCAGACTAATGAGCATCACAACCTAACTATTAACGTTTCTAGGAATAGCTGCAGCCTGGCATTATAAAAGGCATATTATTTTTCCTCTGAGGATTTTAAGTTTCAATTCTGTTACATGTGATTGTCTGTTTGGGTTTATTCTGAACACTAAATTAATAGAAACTTATAACACCTAACACACACATCTTACTCTAGAGAGTCAATCCAACATTTAAATCATCCAACCAGTACAGTTTTGTATTTCTAGGCCACATATGATGTAAAGCAGCCAGCAGCAAACACACTGCTGTCTCAACAAAGCTGGTGGTTGGCTTCACACAAGCCGCTCTGTCTTCAAGCATGGCGACACATACGGGCCCAGCCTGTGCATATGTGTGTGCGCGTGCACGTGTTTCCCGCGTGAGTGATGCAGTGGGATACCCAGCAGCGCTCCGACATTGCATAACCACCCGCCATATAGCTGTTTTTTTTTTCTGGCTGCACGCTGCGGACCACAAGCAAACACACACACACACACACACACACACTTTCTCGCGCGTACATGCACGTGTGAGATGCAGCATCTGGAAAACCTAAAATAAATTTTAAGAAATATGTTTTGTAGCTGATTTTTTCTTCACGCCTTGTGACGCTATATGCTCGGCTATCTGGGGAGGGAGGAAGAGGAATTATAACAAAAACTATGTCAGGAGCTGTGCTTTCCAGTCTGTTATTAGTCTCAGTTTGATGCTCTGTCCTTCTGTCTGAAATACCATACAGACCTATTCACTTACCTGAGTAATAATAATACAAGCAAATAAAATGTTTTAAAATTCATTCAAAACATACATTTTCTTTACCGAAGTTGCATTAATTAATTAATTCTGGCGCTCTCCGTGATTCACACACCGACCTCGATGACGGTGACTGGAGGAGCGGAGACTTCTGACGTCAGACGAGGAGAATGACACGCGCCTCCAATCAGTGGCCGAGGATGTGCAGCGCGAGGACGGAGCTCCCGACAGAAGGCTAATAACCATGCCAACCGAGGAATATAGCGCGCGCCGCTGACTGAGGAGAAACGGGGAGAACGATAGGGGGGGAAACCCTAAAAGAAGAATATATAATAAATATTCACACAGTGGAGGATAAAGGACGAGAGAGGTATCCTAATTTCCTGCAGGGGGGAAGAAGAAGAAGAAGAAGACAAAGAGCTGGTAATTTCATCTTTCCTTTTTTGTCTCTGTGCGTGGTCTCCTTTGCATCCCGCTCTCTCCCCCCCCCCCCCCCCCCCCCCCCCCCCCCCACTCTCTCTCACTCGCTCGCGCTGGCTCAGGGACTGCACTGCTGCAGCTGAATGAAACTGATCCAGGTATTTATTGTTTTGTCTTATTGCTAAAACACACACACACACACACTTAAGACTGAGCAGTGGTTTAAAAAGCTCGTCACAGGGTCGCTGAACGCGCTGCTACTGGGTTGTAAAGTGGATGATGCGGGCTGCACGAGCTCCCGTTACCGCAGGGATGTGAGCCCCTTCGCTGCCTGGCTTTAGGCGGTGATGCTGGTGCTGGTGACCTTCCCCGGCCGTTTGCAGTCATTGACGGGGTGTGCGCGTGTGCGTGTTTTGTGCGTGCACGGGTGTATGAAAGAGAGAGAGAGCAGGGGGGGAGAGATGAAAAATAAGGGGGCGGGGGGGTGAAGGAAGGGTGTGTGGGGAGGTTGAGGTGGGAGGTGTGAGAGGGGAGAAATTTTTTTGTGAATGGAGCTCCACATCCTTTTTTGGCGCGTGTGGCGCGCGCTGGCAGCTTGGCTGGCTGAGCTAAAATTAGCCTCGTGCCGGATTTTTCTGCCTCCGCGCGGCAGCGGCGGCGGCAGCATATGTGGACCGGAATCCGCGGTTCTGGACGCAAACGCGGGCGCACACGCACTCACACTCACACACGTACACACGTCTGGGCACGCGCTCATATACGCCACCGGTGAATAGGACAGCAGCCACCACCGCGCCGTGCCCCAGGACGTCATGCACCATTTTTAGAGATGCTCTAAAAATAGAATTTGTTGATGATGGTTTGGACTGTGAGGAAATTGAACGTCTTCTTCAGTATCCGGCATTTTTTAGGTAGGAATGCGCCCAATTTCAGCTGTTTTGGCTGTTTGGCCATTTATTTGTGTTGTTTATTTTTGTGTGCAGGCTGCTCAGTCTGTCACGTTGCGTGGAAGACAAAATGGAAAGAATATTGTTGTCATTTATACTTTTCCCTTTTTGTGTGTGTGTGTCCACACCTGCTATTGTGCTGCTGCTAATCACCTGTCAGCGTGCATATGTGGGAGCTGCTGGTGACGTGCCTGTTCTGGGGTCAAGAGCATGGTTGTTTTCATGAATGAATGAATGGGCGGCAGACGGATGAAAAATTTCTCTTTTGCCCCTCTATTAATGGGGATAAATGTTAACACCCTCCATTTCCTTGCCCTTCCCTGCATTCCTTCATTGTTTTGTCCTCGACTTGTCTCCCCCCTTTACTTACACTCTCCTCTTTCTTGTCACCACTTTCTTTTTCATCGCTTTCTTTCTACAACAACCTCCTCTCCACTCTCCCCATTCTCTTCCCATCATTTTCTCGCCCTTTTATCCTCACTCCTTTTCTACTCTTTTACCACATTTTTTTCATTCAACTCCTTCAACCACCTCTCTCTTCATTCAATTATCTCTATGTCTTGTTTCAACTCTTCTTTTCAACCTATCGTTGCTCTTTTTACCCTCCTCACTTTTCACTCAACCCCTGACCCACTGATATTTCTTCATCTTTTTCGTTCTCTCCTTTCGCTCATCCCTCTTTCCCAACTCCCTCTGGCTTTCTGTCGTGCATCTTTTATCATTCTCCTTGTCGGAACATTTCCCACTTCTCTTACACATTATCGACTGCTACTTCCTCCTTTATTTTTCCTCCTCTTCCCTTTTGATTACTCTTTTCCCCCTTCATTGTCCACTTCTCCTCTTTCCCCTCGTCTGCTTATCTTCTCTCCTGTCCACCTTCATCTTCTTCCATCATTTTCTCCCCCCCTCCCTCCCTCCTTCTCTCTTTTTTCTCCAGCTATGATTCTCTCCTTGGCCGCAGTAGCAGCCATGAGTAGCGGCAGCGGTAGCAGCCTCAACTCCTCCTCCCCCCTCGACCCCTTTGACTCCTCCACCTCCTGGAGCCTAGGCGAGGACCCCTCCAACTCCTCCTCTGAACCTGTTGTGCGAACTCTGACCCCCGACCTCCAGCCGGCGACCACCGCTGTTGCTGTCCAGGAAGTCAGCCCCTGGGATATCGCGCTTTGTGTGACCGGGACGCTCATCTCCTGCGAGAATGCGCTGGTGATCGCCGTGCTGTTCTACACACCGACGCTCCGCGCTCCGATGTTCATCTTGATTGGATCGCTAGCGGTGGCGGATCTTCTGGCCGGCCTGGGCCTCATCTTGAACTTTGTCTTCACGTATTTGGTTGACAGCTCGGTGGAGTTTGTGACGCTGCTGTCAGTCGGACTGCTCATCTCGGCCTTCTCAGCGTCTGTCCTGAACATTCTCGCCATCACAGTGGACCGTTACCTGTCCCTGTACAACGCCCTGACCTACCATACCGAACGGACAGTCACCTTCACCTACGTGATGGTGGTTTTTATCTGGGTGTCGTGCCTCACGCTTGGCATGCTCCCGGCGCTTGGCTGGAACTGTCTGAGGGACGAGTCTACATGCAGCATCTGCCGGCCTGTCACCAAAAACAACGCTGTGGCGCTCGCTGTCACCTTCCTGCTTGTCTTCGCCCTGATGATGCAGCTCTACCTGCAAATCTGCAAGATCGCCTTCCGCCACGCGCAGCAGATTGCCGTGCAGCACCAGTTTGTGGCCATCTCCACCACCAAAGGTGTCTCCACACTGTCGGCCATCCTGTGTGCCTTCGGGGCGTGCTGGCTGCCGTTTGCCATGTACTCCATTGTGGCCGACTCCAGCTACCCCGTAATATACACCTACGCCACAGTCCTCCCAGCCACCTGTTGTTCTGTGATCAACCCCATCATCTATGCGTTCCGAAACCCGGACATCCAGAAGTCGCTGTGGTTGGCCTGTTGTGGGTGCGTCCCGTCCAACCTCTCCCTCAGACCCAGAACCTCCAGTGATGTGTAGCAGGGAGGGTTGGTTTCTGTCTGGCATGACGCTTGACGCCGAGTCAGGGTTGTAGGAAGGAGAGGAAATGGGAACAAGAGATTGAGAGGAGAAAGGTTGAAGGTTATGGCTGAGGAAAGAGATTTCCTCAACTCTTCATGTCAGGGCTGGTAAAAGTGGCACTGGCACAGGGAGAAGGGAAGAATGTGTATGGTTCCAAAAAAAAAATAAGATAGAGCTAATAAAGATCATGTCTTGTCTGTGGCTTGGAGAATACCAACAGGGTGGTGAAGGTGGCGTGAAACCAACTGCAAAAACCTGATTATGGTGGTTGTGGGAGTGGCAGGGAATGTGTCACAGGACTCAAATGACCTTCTTTAGGTTGTAAAAAGTGAGGCCTGCTTCTCAAGAGTAGCATGTATGTGGGATTTAGGAAGAAATGTCCTAAGTCTCCATAGGACCTGAGCTTAGGCTGCACTGCAAGGTTATGCAATCAGAAGGAGGGAAACAGTCTTAAAAGACTGTTTGTGTTTTCACTGATGTGTTGGCGTGTGCATAAAAATACAATGAGCTAAATATACACAATGAATGACCTTGAGTATTCTCAATGAGCTATCTTTGCCGTCTTCACTTGACGGGAAAACGAGAATATTTCCTCCCTTGAAGCATATTTTAACAATGATGTTCCCTTGATCTGATGTAGATGGAGTAATTAATGAGTGTGTAGACAGAGAGTGCAACAATAACTAACTCGTATGTGCTGAGATTGGAATTAGCTGGCTTCCATGATCATTAACGTTGCTAGTCTACCAAGCCTGTTTTTTACTTTTCGCAACGTCAACAGCACAATCTGCTTTTTGTCAAACACAAAAACACATTGTCTCATGAAGCTTGCGAAAAAAAAATGTCTGACAAAACATCCCTCCTCAAACGTTCAACTCCAAAATGAAACCTGATCCACCAGGCTTCTCTTGCATAGATTACCCTGGTAGTTTGCAAAACCTAGAGAAGGATTTCCATATTTAGGCCGGTGTGTGTTATCCTTAGTGTGATGAAATCAAATCTGCTCCTGGTCAGAGAAAAAACAAAACGGGCTTCTCAGCCAGCTGCTCCGCCGTGACTGTGAAGCAGAGAGAGCTGAATTCAGCACCAAGGACAGCGCCACTGCAGAGCGCTGCTACCCTGGGAATGCTCTCTGCTGCGGGGGGGAGAGCGCTGTAAAGTAGGCTATGCTGTTCTCTACACCATCTTGATGGGGAATGTGAGACGAGCTTTAAAGGGCCATTCCAGCTTGATTGGAGTTTGTTTCGCCCATTTGCAACCCGTTCCGTGTTTTGGAATGGGACTGTTTCCTCATGCTTACATGGCGGCTAAATGTATTTTAAAATCCTTTTTGCTGTAACTTTCAGGGTTATTCGCCTGATTAAGTCCTGAAAAGACAAACAAACACAACATTAATGATATGTCAAATTTGGTAAAAGCGGTAAAAGCTGCACATTTTGAAATCACGTCCAGTTTCTAATGTAGCTAATGTCAAACAAAATTTAAGACAAAACATAAAATGCTTTCACCAGCTATCATATGTGAAAGTTAATGGTAAGGCTTGATTTTACACGTTCATGACTTTAATTTGCTGAATTCTTCTCGAAGTGACTCATATTTTCACCGTTGTTTAAAGACATAGACTATAGACAGCAAAATCATTCTCCAGTGAAGTAAAAAAGCAAGGGACTCCAATGACGCTCAAATTGTCCTGAAATACCCACTTGAGCTACCTATAGTGCGACTTTGATCCTGTCCTTTCCATCCTCTGTCATTTCCTCGCCTCTCTTGTATCTCAGCAGCAGAAACGACGCGTGAGAAGAGCAATGTAAGGCAAGGCTTCTTACACAGGCAAGGTGAAAGCAGCTGGTGTTTTTTCAGCGGCAAAGGGGACCTTAATGTTTATCTGCGTTCCCATAATGCCGTTTAGGATCTAAATTTAGAGACAGCATTGTAACTCCATTGCCCGATTGATTATCAGTTAGCTAGAGCCGAGCACAATCCATATTGAATGGGTAATTGTTCATTAAGATGGCTACAGTACATCCAATGTGTGCTTGGAAATTGCCATAGTTATGCAAAAGACTACAACAACAACAAAAACTAGACTGGCTTTTGCTTTATTGCTATGGCATAAAAAACATTTTTAGGCTTATAAATCATGAGCATCATATGGTCTAAACTCCTCTGGCCTGTTCTCTTCGCCTTCCATTTTCACTTCCCTGCTTGCAGCCTGTCAGCAGTAGCTGGAAATTCGCTGCACGCACGCACACACACACACACACACACACACACACACCTATACATATAGCAGCGCAGCTCTGCCCCGGGCCCCTCTGAAGGCTCAGCGGGTTAATGAGAAGCGAGAGAGGCGAGGTGACGTGGCGTGAAATAGAAACGGCAGGCGAGACGCGCTTTAACGCAACCTCAGGTCACGTCCACCACGCACCCAATCAGGATGAAGTTATTTCCCACTGAAAGTGCATCATGCAAGTTAAATCCAGCTAATGTTAATAACACCTTGGTAATAATGGTGTCGGCAATTGACCTAATGTACAGATGATGTAGTGAACACTGTGGGGACGAGCCGGAGAGGAGATTTATTACCAACCTCTATCTGCATTTAATAAATCTACAGAGATAGCTTTCACTCTGGTTTTCCTCTGCACAACCCCAGAGAGGGCTACCATGACTAAGATATTGGCATGCTGCTAATATACTTGTGTGGGAGGCGTACTGGCTTTGGGAAAATAGTTCATGGAAACTGTATGGGCTGCACAAAAAAACCCTGTGAAACTAAGACACTCAACTTGATACTAGAAAGAAAAATACAGGTTGTTTCTGTAACGACAGGGAGCCACTTCCAAATTCAACGCTTTCTACCAAATATACCACGATAGATGACAGTATAGAATACATACACACAGAAACTTTGAAAATGGCGCTCAGGAGATGCAGGTATTATGATCATCTTTTTTTTCTATTTTAAAACTTACAATATAAGTGTTTTCTATTTTTCTTGGCAGCAACAAACAATCAGTTGTTTTTGCAGCAGTTGTTAGCAGAACAGCTGCACTACTCTGTCAATGATTTTGTTTGAAAAGGCAGAATCTCTCGTGTCTTCTGTTGGTTTTTTTTGTTGTTGTTTTTTTGGCCTTATTGGAACAAAAACTCCTTTGCAATAATGTCTAACTGTATTTTGCTGTGTACAAAAAGCCACAATGGAGAAAAAGAGAGAAAGATAGACAGAGGTGGTGGACTCTGAATGATTTGCAGAAACTTAAACTAAATATTTCAAAGCAACAAATAGCACATTGTAGTGTATGTGAAGGAAATATGGCCTGGCTGGCATGGGTTTTCCAAAACACATTTCAGCAGTCGTGAATTATGGAAGTAGGACAAACCTAAATATGAAGCAAATGCTCTAATTCCATTTATAGATGCTGTTTTGCAGACCGAGATCTTGCAATATTATTAACAGTTTTTACCTCTCTAAAATTAGCTTTATTTTCATGTTGGGAGCCATTTCATGAGTGTTAGATGGCTCGTTTTATAATCTGAAAGTGAATAAACAATGTTTACGTGAAGGTTAAGGGGTCACAACAACTCGACCGCTTCCCTCACTTTCTTTCTCTTTTTGCTCAGTCACTGCATTAATGGAACCGACTGATGGTAAAAGACTTGCATCAATTATTAAGTGAAATACTTTCAATTACTCTGAAGCTGGAAGCATGAGAATGGAAGGAGTTTGGTACTTTTGGCAAGTTTGGTGAACTGCAGCACTGTGGGGGGTGACTCAAAACCAATCAATCCCAGAGAGTTAATTAGATCAGTTTCACATCTGATGCAGATCCTGTTGGCACACAGTTCTCCTGTATGCACAATAATGTGTGAGACTCGCTTTGTCGCTTGTGTTTGGAGATGCTAGATGGGACATAGAACAATTACATTTAGTGAGGTTACTGTCAAATCTGTTCATAGCCGACCATAGCTGCCAACAGCCTACATAATTTGAATTTGGTACAAACACTAATGCTGACATACCGGATGCAGCTTTGAAGCTGTCACTCTGTTTTACAGATGTATCAAACTCGAGATTAAGATCAAGACTCAGACTTGGTTAAATAGAAGTAATTAAATCATCACTTTTTTTTTTTTTGGCTTCAAGCTCAATGTTAGTGATAATTGGCATGTGAATATGTGCCGCTGACCAATAGCAAGCTGTTTAACAGTTCTGATGCAAAGCCAGAGTCTCAAATGGAGCAAGTGCTACATCAGCTGTGCTGCACCATTAACTTTTATTCAACCCTCCTCTGTTGGAGTATAAACTGACCAGACTGTCCTCACCAGATAAACAACAATTTAGGTTGTCTGTGGAGCACGTTATTACGACCCATATTAACGTTTATTGTGGCAGTGACCTCTAGTGGCTGTACTACAGTAGCAAAGGATAAGTCGGGTGACATAAATAAGCAGAAAGTCTGCATTAGGAGGCAGGATGGGGTGGTCCGATGGGTCAAACTCCAGACTTTCACTCAGTGGAATGGTGTTCGAGTCCTATGTGAAAACAAGCAAAAGTTCAGTTATTTTAAGTTTTAAGTTAAATAGCGTTACTGACTTCCATTACGTATCTTAAGTAATTTACTCACTTTAACCCACACCACAACATTTTTCTGAACCTAACCAAGTAGTTTTTGTTGCCTAAACCTAACCAAACGGCGACCATTTCACAACATTAACCTCATGTTTAATGTCACGGGACTTGCGCAACATAGTTAATGCTCATACGTGTCGTTTTTTCAGAGACACAAATAAACGACCTATGTTGTCGTTTAGGTTGGAGGACTTTTTTAAACTGACAATTAGCAAGCTCGCTAAAGATTTTTCTCCCTTCTACAATAACTCTTTATTGAATCGAATGATCCATTCACACACCAGAGAAGAAAATGTCAGGAAAGTACCGACTAGTGCTGGCATGTGCCTGGATGGCTAGCGTGTTAGCAGTTAGCATGCCATTTACAGTAGTTTGCAACTAGCCCTGCAAGTAGCCACTAAGTCACCAAGTTTTTAGAACCACATACTTTCTGGTGTGAAGTCAGTTTCTGATTTTGTTTTTGTGATCAGTGGATAATGTTCCTCGGTGGGTTGAGACAATGTCATGATCTTCATTTAAAAACCTGCTGTGCATAAACTTGAGAATAAATGTTGGTCAAGTTTTTAGCCATTTTTGGAAATAAAAGGATGCTACTTTAACATTTTCTGTTGCCCTTTGGCAGTAAAATGTCAACTACACGGTATTTTCCAGGGTAAAATACACTCTGTTTGATCCAAGTCTGGAGGGAATCATTAACCCCAAAGTACAAATCAGCCGTTTCATGAGTGCGCGATGTTAAATCCAGCATAGCTCAGCTGGAACCACAGTGACTGAACAGCTGATATGAAGACAGCATTAACTCTAGCAGCGTCACACAGCTGTATTTTAAACATTACCTCTGACGGTCCCATCTGGCATGTCCATCTAGTGAACAATTAATAATGCTCATCTGTGAATATGCCACTACTCAGTCAACCGTTCCTGGGGCAGGAGTGGAGTGACCACTCACTGTGTGTGTGTGTGTGTGTGTGTGTGTGTGTTTGTGTTCTCTCCCCTGGGATCATAGCCAATTGTAATGAACCATAACTCAACCAACTCTCACTGTAAACACAAACACACGCAGAGTGGTTTTGTCTGCTGCGACTATAATTCAGTTTAAAAAAAGAAAAGAAATACTGTACAAGTGAGTGTGTGTGTTATTTTTTATTATGCAATGCTGTACAGAAATGTATATTTTTGTAATGTTCATCAGGGCATGAGTTACAAGACATGGCCGCTGCTGTGAGCATGAGTTTGTTGTGTGCGTGCGTGTGTTTGTTTTCTTCCTCTTCTTCTGTGTTCTTCCTATAAACAAATGTCGAAAGTTTCTTTGGGAAAAAAAAAAAGTTGTGTGTCATTTATGCTGAAAAAGTGCCATATTTTTCGACTTTCTAGTGTCTTATTTTTTTGGTTTGTGTACATACACGTTTATCAGAGGGTGAGGAATCTGAAGCCGTCAGAGTTCCAATCAGTAAATCTGTAAACAAAAACAATGCTCAACATGGTCAAAAACAGCAGCCGTGAGGAGCTTGGTGAAGACAGGAAAAACTGATTGTTATGTAAAAGGACATGACCTTGATATCATCGATCACTACACTGAACAAACAACAGAAAAAAGATAGACACCAATCAAAACTAGACTTTTTTCTGTAATGCCAGACTTGTATTTTTCGGGCAGCAGCAACAACAACATGAGAGATGATATCAGCGTTTCTGTAAAATGTCCTCTTGACGTTAATTGCAGTAATCTGAACTGGTTTTTCCACAAAAAGATGCACTAAAAGACAGAGAGAGAGAGGCAGAAAGAGAGAGAGAGAGAGAGAGAGAGACTGAGCGTGACAGTGTTGTACGTCACCGAGTCAGGGTTGCAGTGACGTCACTTTGTCTGAGTCGTGTCTCAGAGAGCAGGTCGTTTCAAAGACATCCCCCTCTCTTCCTCCTTTCAAAAAACGTCCCCCTCACTTCTTCCTCCCACTCACCAGCCTCATCCTTTCAACAACAATCCTCCTTTTCTCTTCACCTGTTTCAGACATTCCAGTTTCTCCTCTTTCTATCGTTTCAAGCACACCCCTCTCTTTTTCCCATCACTTTTCCCTCCTGGTTTTGGCTCCCTTTGCTCTTATCTCTCTTGTCATTTCTCTCATTTCCAATCATCCCCTCCATTCACACTCAAACACCTTCATCCCCCATTTCTCGTTTTAACTCTTCTCCCCTCCCTCCATCCGACTCTTTCGCTTGTCTAATATTTTTGCTATCCTTGGCCTGCAGGAAGCGAGACGGTCAGGCTCCGTCTAAAAATAGTTACCCTGAAAGCAGATAAAAGGAGTGAAAAAAAAGAACAGCAGAAAAAAAAGAAAAGTTAAAAGGAGGGGAGGGAGGTAGTAAAGAAGGAGAAATCGACCCTCCCTCCCTGAGCGCAGATGCAAACATTCACTTTGCCTCTGTAGACAGAAACATCCGCTTCACCATCTCCCTTTCCTCTCTTAAGTTTTTTTTTTTACTTCCTCCTTGCACTCCTGTCTCATCTCCTTTCCACAAGCAAGCATTTATCTTAGTCTATTTTTATACCTCTCTCTCTATCCATCCTTCTGAGTCTCTCTCTTTTTTGTCTCTTCTGAGCACAATCATTTACAGAGGAGTTTTTAAAAGCAGGGTCCGGGCTGAGTGCCTACAGCAAATAAGCAGCACCGCCCCTCGACCGTCATGTCAGGCTAGGCTAAGGTTTTCCCCTCTGTAACCTACAACCTTCAGGCAAGCAGAGATTGTTAATCAGAAAACCATCACAGAGCTAATTTTCTATCGGACCAAGTATGGCCTTTATAGAAAAACGTTGTTTTATGCATTGATCTTGTGGGTCTGGATGAGAAAGCATCACAGGTTTTAAATCCTCGAGGTGTTATTGGGTAATGATACTGTGATGTCAGAGAACTAACACGGTGTCCTTGAACCATGTTTTTAATTATTTCTACTGTGTTTTATTTAATGTTTCCTCTTCAGTTTGTGTCGTGAAACAGTCGGTTACGATAAAAAGTACAAATGCACTTTATAAGATGGACATGTTACACATTGCACTTGTAAATGTCGAATGTAAAACCTTGAAGAGAAAGATTTATTTTTACTATTGTACATAAATGAGAAGAGAAAGTAAAAAAAAGACTGCAAAAAAAGTGGAGATAATTTGCCAAATAAACTGAGAACAACAAAAGAAGAAAGTTGTAACATCGTGTTTTTCTGTGTGCTGGAGTGGAGTCAATCCAGTGACGTCATGGTGTGTGTGTGTGTGTGTGCGTGACAGTATCTGCATGTAGGTGTTATTACAAGTGCGTGGGGATTGTGAGTGTGTGTGACTCAATATCGCAGGTCACTGTAGTGTTAAGGAAAGCTTGGGCATAAAAAAAAGACGCTGCTGAATTATTAAACCACACCCTGCTTGCGTAACAGCAGAAAACTGAGAACTACAGAGTGAGAGGGTGGAAAAGGGAGAGAAGGAGAAGAAGGAAAGGAGAAGGATGGAGAATCCAATCAGAGGAGAGGACTACACGGCAGTGATGTCACGAACACGCTGATCCATATGACATTCACGTAAAGGAAAAGATGAAGCCAAGATGGAGAGAAGGAAAGGAAAGGTGCAAAAGATGGCTGATGGAGGAAGATAGTGTGTGTATGTATATGTGTGTGTGCAAGTTTATGTTTTTCTCTAGGGACAGATTGCCTCTTCACAAGGTTGACTGAGAGCACGCACACAAACACACACATTTATTATCCATGCATCCATGCATTATCCGTGCTGTAATGTATTCCCAAGGGACAACTATGTCTGTGTGTGTGTGTGTCTCCCAGTACCTTACCCTCACACACACCTGCATACACACACTAAAAGTACAGAGTCTTAATAAATAATTAACAATGCAAAGCAGGAGATTTCGGTGTGTGTGAGAGAATTTAACCTTTTATCAGTCAAATTTGCTATAATGTATGTCAATTAAAGTGTGAACTTATATACGTGTGAGTCAGAGTGTGAGACTAGTGTGTTTGATCGACTCCATGGCTCACCTCTATGTAGTCTCTACATGGAGGGGAAGAGCTCTACCATGTGGCCAGCGGTGAGTACTGCAAAGACAGGAGATGCAGGGAAAAGACGCAGAATCCACACACACACACCTCATTTCTTTTACGTCATCCCAGCAGATCTCTCAAAGCAAGCACGAAGCCAGCCCTCTCCCTTTTTCCAACCTTACTGTCTCTATCTTCCTCGACCCACTCAGTCTCCCATTCTCCTTACTCTCTCCCTCTCCATCTCTCTGAGTGAGAAGGCTCTCTCCACCATCTGCTGCATGATGCTGCAAATTACCTCTGTGTAAGTGCATGTGTTTGAGAGCAAAAAAAGAGCACAGAAGGTGGAGATATTCCTGCATCTGTTGTGTCTGACTCACTCACTCACACTCACACACACACACACACACACACGACTCATCACCCTGATCTAAAAGTTTTATGAACATGTGATTGAAACCTCTGCTGATTATTGCCAGGAAATGATCCACGGGTGCACTTAATGTGAACTGGAAATTATTATTAGCACATCATCGATCTGGCATGTTCAAAGCTTTCCAGGAATTATTTTAAACGTTGTCCAGCGACTGTAATGTGATGCTCTGCATTTCCCAGAATGCCTTGACAACCCATTGAGCAACTGCCAGCTGTGAGTTTTATGTGAAGGTGGAGCTTGGAACTAAGTTACGTGTAACAGAAACCAGCCAACCTTTATTTAATGCAAAATCAAAAATGTGGCTTAGATTCATTTATGCCTACTGAGGCTACTATGGTGTACAAAGAAAATCCCCTTTCCAGTCTCATAGAAGGGGATTTTAGTACACAAGACAACTACAGTACATACTACAGACTTCTCAGAAATTGGACAGCATCTAAGACCATCAACCTGCTGTCTTAATTATCTGCCAACAAGCTTCTTTAAAAGTGTTTTTGGCTGTTTGGCAACACACCTGCTGCAGTTACTCAACCATGTCTCTCATCATTATGTAATTCCCCTAATGAGAAGTGCAACCATCGAGCCTCTTCTAAAAAAAGAGTGGATGAACATCTGTGATAAGCAACTACAGACCTATACTAAACCCTCTCTTTGTAAGTAAAATAATTGAAATGGTTACTTTGAAAAGAGATTGCTCTCACTTACATGCTGAATGATCTTTGTGCTGCATTTGTCATGGCCAGGGATGTACTGGGACTGAAATTCATCCCGGGACTTTGAGACGGAGAGGGCTTTTATGCGCCGTGTGGGGGCCCGGAGAAAGATTTATGCAGTTATTTTAATATATAGTGTTGTACTTGTATGCAGTCAATTTCATTGTGATAAAGACCTTCAAGAAATTTTTTGTGACACCTGCCTCTTAAATTAAAAGCAAGGCACCACTGTACTGAACAGGACCAGGTCAGGCAAGCCTGAGTCAGTCAGAGTGCAAAAATAGTTAAACACAATGCAGTCTCATAAAACATAGCAGTGTTCATGTGTGTGCATAAAAATCTTCAGCTCTGAGTAGGCCTATCCATGGCTCATCTTCCACTGTGCTGAACACTGACTCTGCTTGTACTGATATGTTGCTGTATGCTACATATGCATGAGAAGAACATCAGTAATAAATGTTACTAACAATAATCCATCTCTAATTCTATCTATGGATGATTGCCTACCCAGCCCTGCACACTGCCCCTGTACCTGTCATTGTTTCTGGTTCCATTGTCCTTCTCCTCCTGCTTCTCCTCCTCGTCCTTCTCCAACAGCTCCTTCTGTTCCTCCTCCTCTTCCTTCTTCCTTCAACTGTTGTTTATAATATATATAAATATAACACAGCCTATATGTCTATACATAAATGCATATTTAAATATTCTCAGGTTATAATAGCATTACTTATCAGTGCCTATGCTGGGTCCTGCCTCATCTGCGCTGCCACAGCACCTTTCCACCAATGAAGAGGTCGGTTAATTTGGCGCCTTTCCTTTTTCTTTCTTTTCAAGATATTTACCTGATCTGTTTTGCTTGTCTTGTCACACAACCCTGGGCTTCAGACCCGACAAAACGTAGTGGGATCGAACGACCAGCTGGAAAGTAAACTCCTTTCATCAAAAACGA